GGTAGTACAGTAGTATTAAAGTAGCAGTAGTGGTACAGTACGAGGGTGTGGGAGTACCTGGAGCTGTTGAGCGGGGGTTTGGGCACGACCAAAAGCCCGAAGCCAAGCCACGATCATTCCAAGATAACTACCAAAACTGAAGCCCATTCATGTTGAAGACTTTGGGACTTTGCCTTTCAGCCATTAGCCTTCAACCATATACCATGGCACTCTGCCTTCTAACCCTACACCCTAAAACCCTGAAGCTCTAACCCTAACCCTTTCATTACCCTCAAACCCCTAATACTATGGCACTCTGCCTTCTAACCCCAAACCCTAAAGACCCTGAAACTTTAAACCCTGTGCCAGGTCTTCTTCATCCTCGTCTTCTTGGAAAAAACCTTAAAAATGTAGAAAAAATAGTTTTTTGTGTTTTAAAGTTTTTAAACAATTTTAAAAGTTTTTTAAAGTCTTTAAAAGTCTTTCAAAGTCTTTTAAAGTTTGTAAAAGTTTTTAAAAGCTTTTAAAAGTCTTTTAAAGTCTTTTAAAGCTTTTACATGTCTTTGAAAGTTTTTAAAAGTCTTTTAAATATTTTAAAAGCCTTTTAAAGTTTTGAAAAGTCTTTTGAAGTTTGTTAAAGTCTTCTAAAGTTTCTAAAAGTCTTTTAAAGTTTTTAAAAGTTTTTAGAATGTTTTTCTTGCATTTTAAAGTTTTTAAAAGTCTGTAAAAGTTTTTAAAAGCCAACTCTGTCGAACAAGCCCTGTGGATCTAAACCCTGTGGTTCTGGTTCGGTGCAAAGGGTCAATGACTCATGGCATCATGAATCATTATAGACAAGCCTTGTAGAGTGTCTTTCAGGAGCTCAGATATAACCTTCGAAAGCTTGTTAGGAGCCCTTCTAGCCTTGGGAATAAACTCATGGGCTCAACCGGCTATAGGCTTTACTGTTTAGGAGGCCAGAGGCTCCGAAGTATACAGGCCTGAATACCTAGAGCCAAGGACTCTGTAGTACATGTTAGTGATCATTTACGCCCTAGGCCATACACAGGAATCCTGAACCCTGATCCGGGAGCAATCCTTAAGCCCTAAACTAAACCAGGGCTGCCTAAATGCATACAGCCCATCCAAGACTTTGTCAAGATCGGCAAAGCCCAAGACCACTGGATCTGCTTTGTGGATTTTTGCCATGCTCTTGGCAAGCCCATACCATGTCTGAAACGCTCTTGTTTGAGAGCAAGCCATTCTGGTCTCAGCCCTGAGCTCGCATAAACCCCTTCTAACACTTGGGGGTTCAGAGTTTCAGGGTTTAGGTAGGGTTTAGCTTGCACTAGTCGGCTTAGGTCTGTTTCTGAATCCCCCGATACATGGAGCCGAATAATTAGATCCTAGAGTCTTATCCCATTAATGGAGCCCTCGTGCATGGAGCTTGTTTGAGAAAATTTGAGGAGCCTGCATACCTAGACCCCCCAACTACCCTATTAGAGGACTTCAGGGGTTCCTGGTAGAGGTCAACACCCTAAACCCAAACCCCCTAAAGTCGGCGGTCACGTCGCCGACCACCAGCCTCACGTTCCAGTTGCCTGCGCTTCATTGAGTTTTTGTTCAGGAACCCGTTGGAGCCCTTATCGAGCCATTGCAGAGCTTGTTAGGAACCTTGTTTGAGCTTTGGAACAGTGCCGCCTGCGATGCCAGCGACGGCGAGACTTGCGCACCGTCTCCGCCGAGGGAGTTTAGGTTTAGGGTTTAGGACGTGCGACCTTGCTAGATGTATGTGCACATCCCTCGTCAACAGCGGGTTCCTCATCAGCGTTGCATGCTGGGGGTTCAGCACTGCAGCCAGCTACTTGGCACCAGCACGCGATTGGGGTCTCTAGGCAGTTACATCGTCGTTGGGCACTTCACCGCAAAGAACCTGAGCTCAAGAGAGCAGGACCGCGACGTGCTGATCGTGAAGGCCCCCCAAAACTACCTTGAACCCAAAGACGTAAGCCTGAACCCTTAATTTCACCCCTATAAGCCCTAAGCCTCTGAACCGCTAACCCCTATAAACTCTTTGCCGTCAAAACCCTACACCTAAAGAATCCTAAGCCAACCCTTTACAGTAATCCTTAAATTTTCCCCCAAACCTTACACCAGTAGCACATCCCCGAGGTCTGTCGGAGCTTCAGATGACCCTATCCTGATGCCCAAGCAGGGTTGGGGGTTGACAGTTTCGGCTTAATGGTTTACAGTACAGGGGTCAGGGTTTAGGGTTCAGGGTTACCGGTTAAGGGTAGAGGGTTTAGAGTCTGGGCTTTAGGGTAACCGGTTTAGGGAGAAGGGAATCCCTCCAACTTCCATGTGCACTATAAAACCGAGCTCCGAGGTAGGAGGAACTTCTAAATAAACCCCAAAAGACCCCATGCAGTAATCCCTAAACCCCAAACCGCTAAACCCTAAACCCCAAAAGCCCTAAACCCTGAAAGCCCTGCACCCAAAGCATCTCCCCGAGGTCGGAGGAACTTCAGAACCCATCCTGATGCCCTTAAAGTAAAGTCCGGCTTTGAGTTTAGGGATTACGCCTATAACACGGAGCTCCGAGGTCGGTGGAGCTTCAGACGAACCCCAAATCCCCATAATAATGCCTACAAACCCTAAACCCCCATAGTAATGCCTATAAACCCTAAACCCCAAAAGCGTTACACCCAAAGCCGAGGTCGGAGGAGCTTCAGATCTTTCGTTTGAAGCTCCATGACCGGCAAGCCCGGCGCAGGCATCGGCGTTCAGGGGCCTAGGGCTTTGGGGGTTTAGGGGCAAAGGGTTTAAGGGTTCCGTGGTTTGTGGGCTAAGTTTAGGGGTTTAGGGTTTAAGGGTTTATCGTTTTGGGGGCTAAGTTTAGGGGTTTAGGGGTTTGGGCCTTCAGGCTTTTGGGCTTTAGGGTGGGGGGCTTCAGGGTTCCGGGCTGAGATAGTTTGTGATTGAGACCATCCCCTTATACTGTATCCCCTTATATATGTATAAATAAATAAATAAATACATATATAGATAGTGTCCCTCTTAAGTTAGATGTTGACATACCCGTACAGAAAACTGTGCAGTGTATTACAGGCCATCTTTCGGGCATCAGAGTCTAGGGCACTCTAGGGCTGAATTTTCGGGACTTTAAAAATGCTTTGCTTCGCGTTCCATCAGGGTTTAGGGTTTAGGGAGGGTGCTTGAGGGGTTCATCTACAATCTGCAGGGCTTTCACAGGTCAACAGAAGGGGTTCTAACAAGCTTACGTTCGGGGTCAAAAGTTGATGGGGCTTGGCGTATGGGGTTGGTTACCTTTGGTTGGTGGGGAATGGAAGAATGGTAGTAATAGTAGTTGTAATAGTACCCCATGCCTCCATTCCCTACTAACCAAAGGTAAGGTTGGAGTTTTGGGTTTAGGTTTGCGGGTTCTTAGGGGTTTAACAAGTTTACGACCGGGCTGAGAGCTTATGGGGCTTAGCGCATTGGGTCGGGGTTTAGGGTTTTGGGCATCGGTATGCATGCAGTTCGGATTTGTTGATGCTTTTGGATTTGGGGTATAAGCGCGCTGGGGGTTTGGGGTTGCACTTCATTTGTTAAGCCACACTGGCCCTCAAAGCAAAACAAGGTACTTCAGGCTATTCAGCTACACCCTGAGCTGTGAAAGCTGTAGGCCTTGAAGCCAAACCAATCGACTGAAGGCTTCACCGAAACCATGACCCCAAACCCTGCCTCAACCCCGAAACCCTAAACCCTGAACCATAGTGGCTTCACGCGAAACCTCATGTTTAAACCCACAGCCGTCAGCTCCGACAACTAGACCTTAACTCCCGACCCTTTTAGTGTTGGAGCCTATACCTCAAATCCCAAAATACCCTGAACCCTGAAACAAAAGCCCCAAGCCCCAACCCCGAAACCCAAAGCCTGCAATTGAAGCCCGAACCTCCAAGAATACCCAGGCCCTAAGTTCGAGAGCCTAATTGCATAATGGCAGTAAATGGTTCACCCTAGCCCGAAACCACCCTAAACTAGTAGACATCTTGCCGAATCCCTAAACCCCCAAAGCCCTAAACCCCGAAACTCCTCAACCCTAAACTCTAACCCTAAAGCCCAAACCCTATAAGCCCTAAATACCCTAAACCCTATAAGCCCTCAACCCTTAAACCCCCTAAACCGGAAAAACCTCGAACCCTAAACTCTAACTCATCAGGTTTCACGACATTTTTGGTGCCAAGAGAAGACCTCGCCGCGTCCCGGAGCCGGTCGGGGGCTCGGGTCTGGGGCATGCGGATTAGGGTTTGAGGTTTAGGGATTCTAGGATTTGGGATAATTCAGGAGTTTTAGGATTTCGGAGTAGGGTTTAGGAGTTCTGGGGTTTAGGAGTTTAGGGATTAGGAGTTTAGGGTTTTGGAGTTTAGAGTTCAGTGTTCGCGGTTCCGGAGTTTTTGGGTTTAGAGCTTGGGGTTCAGGGTTTGGGATTCAGGGTTTAGACTGCAGTTGCTGCAATTCAGCAAAGTAGGGTCTTGAAGTGTCCTAGGGGTGTTATTTTCGCAAGCGTGTAGAAGGTTTTCTGTAGGCATCGTATTACAATTGACAAGGCTGTTCGAGATTATCATGAGGTCGCCGAAGTTGTAGTAGTCTAGGATTAAGGGGCCCGTACTGAGGTCTCAGGTTGTGTTTCGGGTTGTTTGGGGGTCTTAGGGCCTTCGAATTCTTTTGTGTGACGGAGTCTGGGGCTTCCGGGTGTTAAGGCTTCCTTTGGTGGCTTCTTTTTTTCCAGGAGTCTTGACACATTGATGAATCATCAAGGTTGAAGGCTTGCGGGTTTAATACAGCCCGGAAGAAGACAGGGAACCACGAGTAAACCGCTATAGAAACCTTCGGTGGTGGGGTTCAAGGCTGCCCAAGGCTTCAGGGCATGAGGGGTCCAATTCAGGAGCTGGTGAAAGACCGTAGAAACGCAAAACTTCGAGGGCGAGGCTGCTCAACAGGTCACTCCAGCTTAGCTCCACCGTTTTCCTGCACAGCCCATGGCTGGCTGCTACGACAAGGTCCCAGACGAGTGGATTCGCCCGACTACTTGGCCCCCGAGGAAAAGTGTGCTCGAGAGAGGCCCAGATGCACCTCACGTCGTTCTCTCCACGAAGTTCCAAGAGCCATGGAAGACAATCTCGATAGGAATCAAGGAAATCCTGGAAGAACTGGGCTGTACCGTGTACAATCCCAATACCGACAACAAGGCGCGCTCGGGGGCCCCAATCAACGGGTTGAAAGCTGTTCTGTAGAAAGTTTCAAGACTCGCTTGCTGCCCAGGACCTTCCGGTGTCAAGGCATCTCTGTAGTGAGCGTGGCTGGGTTAAGGGTTCAATCAGCTTTGTTGCTGACCTCTCTCTCTCTCTCTCTCAATCTCACCCGCAAGGAACTTTGGAAGGAGAAGGCCGACTCCCGCTGGCTCCGCACTTTCCAGGAGAACTTGGATCGCATCGAGCAGAGCAAACGGGGCTTCGTGCTCCAGATCCAGCAGGGTGTGCTCCGGGAGAAATCGGACATGCAGGTCGCGGAGGAGAACATGGGAAAGAAGTGGCAAGTCCCCCGCATCGGTCTCTTCGCCTTTCCGACCACCAGCATTCGAGGAGGCGGCACCCGAGCGGAGCAGTATCTGGCCACCGCAGTGCAGAAGGCCAGGGAGCAGTGGGAGCAAGGCGTCAAGGACGAGGTGCAGATGGTCTCAGAGTGGTACGACCCGATCGGGGGAGACGCGGAGCTGCCCGTCAACGACCAGGGCAATATGGACGGCCGGGCGCGATGCACGTTCCCGAGCGGCAATATGTACGAGGGAGACTGGAAGGACGGCAAGCGGAACGGCACGGGAACGCACACGTTTGCGAACGGCGGCGTCTACGTCGGGGAGTGGAAGGACGACAAGCGGAACGGCATGGGGACGCAGACATTTGCGAACGGCGACGTCTACGTCGGGGAGTGGAAGGACGGCAAGAAGAACGGCAAGGGAACGTACACGCACAAGAGCGGCAACGTGACGGTCAGCTTCTTCGAGGAGGGCGAATACAAGGGCCGCTCGGTGAGGCTCAGCGCGAGCGGCGAGAAGGCCTGGCTCTGCATGGATGGCAAAGTCGAGCGCGAGGTCTCCGTCGCCGAGGCGGGGCCGCTTTCGTGCGCAAAAAAGTGCGCAGTGCGGCGTGTCGCCCCGCTCCCCGCTGCAGGCTCGGAAGGTGGCCAAGGAGCTCGGGCTGCCGCCCCTGCCGTGAGACGAATGTGTGCCTGTGCCTCGGGCCGCCTTTTTTGTGTGATTGTCCGTGGCCTCCCCCCCTTGAGCCGAGGTCAGCGGAGAACTCCCCGCAACAGCGCGGAGTGAAGGCTCGGAGCACCGATTTACTTCAGATTCAGAGTTTAGGAAGAGTTTCGCGCTGGTGGTCGGCGGCCCTGAAGGGCCGGTTGACCGCCGCAGCACTCCAAACATGATATATGCAGCGGTTGCGAGCAAATTGCTCTGCACGACATGTCGCGGCTCGGTGGCAAAGCAAAAATGTACAGTATGGGCATCGAGTCGGAGAGGCCACTGCAGGCAGCATCGGAATGTGAGGGAGCCTGGGGTTTAGGCCCTTACACTGCTGGTGTCTGGTTTAGGGGATCTGGGTGTTTGGAGTCTGGAGTTGCTGGTGTTCAACACATTCGGGTCTTCAGTCCGTTGAACTGTGATTGCAGCTGAGTGCTTTGTGAGGCATGGCTTGACGGAGCCTTCAATTCTTTGTAGGCAGAGTTGGGCTTTACCATGCTTCACCGAGGGGTGGAGTTTTGATCCGTAAAGGGGCCCTGACACCGGATCTTAATCGAGGTATGCTCACGTTGGGCTTTCTTCAGGTCAGTTATGCTGAACCCGCTTGAAGCCCTTGAAACTTGCAAGCACTGCGCCGAATCCAGCAGGTTTCGGACCTCGCAACGTAAACAATGCCTGAGAAATTTGAGGTCCCCAAGCTCAAGGTTTAGGGGTATATAGAGTCAGAGGTTAGGTTAGGGGCTTTGGGTTCCGCCCTTTCTGGAATAAGGTTAGGGTTTGCAGTTCGAGGTTCATAGCTCAAGGCTGTTATCGACAGCATCATGTTCCTTTCATGTAAGTACCGACTAGTTCCTCAATCCTCTACTTCCCCTCAAATGCCTACAGTTGCAGATCACCGTACCGAAAGTTAACTATTTGTTTGGTTGTTTGGTCCTTTGGACAAAAACGCTTTAAATACCCGTCCAGAGCCCAGCAGAATATTTTCTGAGCGTTTCAGAAAACTGAACCCCAACTTCAGTGCTTTGAACTTCGATCTCGAACCCTGCAAGGAACCCATAACACTCTGGAAGGAACCCTTAACTGCTTCTTTGCTGCTGCGAGAGCAGCTGGCGGCACCCGAGCACACTGCTATACCTTTGTTTCTGCTACTTCCACATGCGTTGTAGCGCAGTTATTTCTTTGTTTGTGCTACTTCCACAGGCGTTGTAGCCTATGGGCTCTATGCAGCTTTTCGTACTGTTTAAGGAACCCTTATAAAGAAACGTATAGAAACCCTTATTGAAAGCCTATAACCATACGCCCTTGTAAGCACCTTTAAAGGAACCTTTACCCCCCAAGCCCCTCAAAGGAGCCTTTAAAGTCCAGGCAAACCGTTATGGGATCCCTTATAGTAACTCTTATAGACCCCTAATAGTAGCCCTCAGGAACCCTGAAAGGAAGCCTTGTCGGAGCCTTCATTGGGACTCCTTGAACGCTTGAAGGTCTTTGCGAATGTCGTGGCGGAGGTGGAGAAAGAGCCGCCAAAAGTCACGGCCAGATCCTTAAAGGGTTTGGGGCTTTACGGCCTTGAGGGTTTAGGGTTTCCCTTTGTGGTGTAAAGGGGTTCCTTTTGGGAAGGGTTCCTTTAGGGGCTCGCTCAAGGGTTCTATTGGGTTTAGGACGGTTTAGCGGTTTTGGGTTAAGGTGTGGGCGTTTGGGGTTTGGGGCTTTCTAGGGGTAGGGCGTTTTGCGTTGTTTCGGAATCTAGGGGTAAGGGTCGGCTTTTTAGGCAGTCGGGTGCTTATGGTTTGGGATTCAGTTAAGACTGTTAAGATTTGGGGCTCTGGCTTGTTTTGTTATGATGGTGTCGGATACTAGTGTAGGAACCTGATCAAGAAACCATGGGCCTCTATTAGGGTTCCTTATATGAATCCTACTATTTTGGGGTTATAGGCCCAGGGTTTCTCAATCAGGTTCCTACATTAAGGTTGATGGGGCTTGGGCCTCGGTTGAGGTTTGGGGTTCAGGGGTTTAGGGTTTAGGGTGGCATACATGGTAGATATGATTGCTGTAAAGGGACTTCAGAAAGACTGATGCGGCCCTGGCCTTGTGAGCCTCTCCGATTGCTAACGCTTTTCTAGAACCCACCCACAATCTCCATTGTGGTTCTTCTTTGGGTTAGCCAATTTTGTGGTTAAGATCTTCAACCAAAAAGGAACTACGATGGGACTATAGGCTTGCGCAGGCTTGGGTTAGCGGCTCGTCATGTTCTTTAGGGCCTAATTAGGTCAAGGATGGCCGCAATAATGTCGCATGCCGATGGGTTGTCCGACAGCGTCATGGTTTAGGACGTTCAGCTCCAGTAGTTCAGTCCGGTGCATGGGATGAAAACATGGCACAGTGTCACGGTCATGCCAGGCAAGCAAGCTCTTGTTTTAGCGCCTCGATGACAGCACCATGGTGGACAAGCCAGAATTCGGTGAAGTAATTAGCTGCGTTTTCTGTCGTTGTCGTGGACTCCAGCGCGACGAGGGACTGGAGGCCTCGCCTCTTCGCTGGACGAAAGCTGCCGTGGCGAACCACGAAGCTCGTGGTGTGGATGGTGTAGGCAGAGGATGCGGGGTGGTCCAGTCTTCAGGAGGAAGTCCGTGCTCCACCACTCGTGCGGTGGATCCGAGATAACTGTCAAACGGGGTCATGTTATGATTTGGGAGCCACATTATTTGTCATGCTGGGTTGCATCACCATTACAATGTCTGGTGCCTGTCTCCAGCCAGTGCTCATTGGCAGGTTGCTCTCAACATTGGTCTCATTAATATCATGACTATCGGTTTTAGTTTTAGTCTTATCACTATGACTACTACTACTACTACTACTACTACTACTACTACTACTACTACTACTACTTCTGCTACTACTACTACTACTCCTGCTACTACTACTACTACTACTACTACTACTACTACTCCTGCTACTACTACTACTACTACTACTACTACTACTACTACTACTACTACTCCTGCTACTACTACTACTACTTCTACCACTACTACTACTACTCCTGCTACTACTACTACTACTACTACTACTCCTGCTACTACTACTACTACTACTACTACTACTACTACTTCGTCTTCTTCTTCCAGCAACAACACCAATTGTTGGGATGTACCTAGATACAGCATAGCAGTACCCGTGGTGTTGTTGAATCTGAGGCTCTGCGATTCCGAAAAGGCCGAAACCCAGACCCGAGCATGCCAAGCATACACAAAAAAACTAAACTTAACCCTAAAGCGGCCTCTCGATCCCGCAGCCTATCAAGGTGAAAGAAGTTCCAATCAGACTACCTAGCTTTGATGATGCGCCTTGGCAGTGAAGGCAAGTGTTCGTGGGGCCATTCAGGGGTTGTATTGGGGCCTTGGAGGGTTTTACAGGGCTTCTGCTTGATATGCGTTCATATGTTTTTCGTTAGTGAAAGGTATTATGTGGGATCTTGGCGGATGTACTCTCGCCCAGAGCACCCCTGAACACCGTACACCCAGACCCTAAACCCTGCACCACAAGAGTCTATGTATGAGAATCCTCTTCAGCCCGCTATGAGACATGATACAAGGCCCCTATAAACTTCCGTAAATATCCCTATAAATTTCCGTAAATATCCTCATAAACCGATTTTGGAACAGGGGTTTAGGGCTTCGGGGTTTAGGGTTTAAGGCTTAGGATTTAGAATTCGAAAAGCATTCAGAGTCCTTCGAG